AATTTCTGTTCTGGCTCCAATGTGGTGCTGCATCCTGTCCCTGAGGGATGTCCATTTTGCACAGACAGTGACTCTCAGAGTTTCTAATTCCAACAGTCCCACTACCTGCTAGTGCTTCTAAACTGGAGTCTCAAACTTCTGAAATTATCAGTAAGCTTCACTGAACACACTACTGTGCCTTAAAGGGTGGATCCTGACCTTCATGGAGATTTTGGCACCAAGGTCTGATAATCAATGAAGGATTAATGTAACAGCTTTATGGCACCCATTTTAAATAGGTCATTCTCTTATTTAGCATTCAGTGTCTAGCATGTTTTCATCTGTCTCTCTTTACACTTGTAATTTCTTGGAAATAAAAAAGACAAAAATAGCTGAGATTGTGGCCAGCATGTTCTACATAATTCACATTCCTTAGGGCTTCAATTAGGTCTTTTTAGGGAGAAAATATTGTCCTCATTCTTTTTCTGGCTCACAATTATACATTTCTTGACACTTTTCAAGACAGAGACACCATCAGCAAGGGTCTTTTTCACCTGAGAGTTCTGAGAAAAAGTTCTCTTTAACTGTAATTATGTTACGAGTGTACCATGGCAGCAATTTACATTTGACCTTAGTGGTCTTCCCCTGTTGTTGCTTTAATTACATGGGCCTACTACTCGCCCAGGTTTCGTCTCTGTGTATCTGCTGGGCTGAGAGATGGTCAGATGAACAAGTCTATGGAGAGATTATTTCTCATTTGCAGGCTAACAATGAATACCACACATTTTAGTCTACAGATTAAAAGTAAAACCAACTGATTTAAAAAATATATATATGTAGAGAACACAGGGAAGGCCAGGGAGAAAACAAGAGAAAAAAGTTGTGGTTCACATTCCAATTTATACTCTGAAGAAATATGGGTTGTTTATATTTCATGTAAAAGTATTGGGAAGATCTACCATTCCTAGAAAAGTATATAGAATACTAGTACATTCTAATAACTAGCTATTTCCCCCCAGGTAAATATATTTAAGAACACAGAACTTCATAAGTTTTAAAATGTAAAATGTCAGAAATAGTGTGACAACAATCACAAGGGAAATTTATGATAAATTGTTAAAAGTGTTACAGTTTGGAAATTAGACTGGGGAATATATTATAAACCTTATTCTGATTTAATTCTTAGGAGGAAAAGATGAAAAGTTAACGTCTGCATACCAAAAGGAGATAGCAAAAAGGAAAACCACATGGGCCGGCCCGGTGGCGCACTCGGTAGAGTGTGGCGGCTCCCGCCGAGGGTTCGGATCCCATATAGAGACCGGTCTGCTCACTGGTTGAGCGTGGTGCGGGCGCGACACCGTGGGTTGTGATCCCGTTGCCGGTCGCGGTACAGGCGCGACACCGAGGGTTGCAATCCCATTACCAGTCACGAAAAAAGACAAAAAGGAAAAAAAAAAAAAAAAAGGAAAACCACAGAAGTTCTCTGTTGTTTCGGGATGTAATTCTTTCCTCATTGACCTCTTGGGATTTTAGATACTACTTTAAGGTTCTCCAGTGAAATATTTTCTAGGAGAATTAGCTCCCAACAAAGAGCTATAAGGTTTTTTTTTTTTTTTTTTTTTTAACTTGGAAAAAGACAGAACGTACATACTGCTTTACAACTGTTGGCTATCAGACTTGCAGTCTTCTTGAAGGTCTTTTCAAGGTAGTGTGCAAATCTTTCATTCTCATTTTCTTTTGACCCTAGCTGAAGAAATTCACCTGTAAAGGAAAAGGGTCATATGAGATAGTTTTATTACCTGGCTAAATACCAGAATTGAATAAAAAAGAAGAAAAGTCAGAATCAACCTACCACGCACCAAATCTTCAATAACTTGGGTTAAAATAGATATAACAGTTGTATTTCCGATTCGTGCCAGAGCTATAGATGCTGCAGAAAGAATTAAATCTCCAGCAAGAACAGCCTAGAAAAAGAAAGAAAACAAATGTCCAGAGAAAAGAAATCAGAGCAATGGAGTCAAGGACAAAGCTGACTTGTCAGACGGTAAATACAGAAGGTGACAGAGGGGTCACCGTTGCTGTAAGTTTCTTCCCATCCTCTTCCTCAGCAGGATTACCGTAATCATCAGTTACAGATGTGCGACGCTGTAGGGCCAAACTGGCTCTCAGATACTACATTGTCCATCTCCCCAGTTCACAGCGGAAGAAACACATGCCTGGAGGAGAGCAGCCTACCCTCTGGCTTCACCCCCAGACCCCACAAAATGCAGCAGCCTTCATTCGGTTTAGCTACACTGACCCGTTAGCTTTTCCCTCAAACCATGCTGTTGTGCCTTTCCAATTACTGTTCCTTCTGCTCAAAAGGTCCTTCCCCTTTTTCACTTAGTGTACTCGTTTGCATAATTAGCTCAGATGCCACCTCCAGGAAGTCTCCCCTGATCCCTTGGTCTGATCAGATGCCTCCCTCCTGTGTGAGTGCCAGACGCTGTGCACACTGCTGACATGGCACTTTGTGTCCCAATCAGTGACGTCCTATTCACCATATTCTTGCAAGACACGGACTGGTACTTAAGCGCACAGCACAACACATATTTTTCTCCATAAGAACTAAACCAAGTAATCTTGGCTCCAAGTTCAATGCTCTTTGCACATTGCCCCTCGTTTCCAGATAAAACATTTTTTTTCACTGAACACTAGGTAATCAATATTTTCCTAGTCTTTAGATTGTGAGCAGATGTGCATACTGTATTAGCAACTAATAATAAATTACACATGGTTGAATTATATGCTATAATCAAATACACTATATATCCATGTTAATTTGCATATTTAAAGATATGCACCTGTCATTATGTTCTACAGTAATTAGTCACAAATGCTAGATACAATTCATGGAAATTTTATTTCACAGAATTTTCAACAACCATTTTAGGTATTTATTGTCTGTTAGTTCTCTAGTATCTAAAATAATGATGTTGGGCCGAGCCCGTGGCGCATTCCGGAGAGTGCGGCGCTGGGAGTGCAGCGGCGCTCCCGCCGCGGGTTCGGATCCTATATAGGGATGGCCGGTGCGCTCACTGGCTGAGCGCGGTGCGGCCGGTCTCAAAAAGGACAAAAAAAAAAATAATGTTCAGTTTATGTTTACCAATTAATCATTTTATGTAATATACATATTATATAAGATATCCTGATATAGGTGTGCACTTATGAAGTCATTACACACATTGTGATACATATGTACACACTTATACCCACTCATCCACCCCTTACATCATCGGCAGCTCAGGGCTCAGAACCCCTAGGCCTTCACCTCTTTAATCTCAGGCCAAAAGGTTCCAGCATATGAATCTGAAGCCACAAGACTGGATGGCCAGGGAAACCCAGGCCAGTGGGAACAAGGGGTCATGGAGAGAGCACTGTGTGAAGGGATTTTTGAATTTGTAATGTATCAGTTGTGGTTCAGAGGCAGAAAAAGGGAGCAAAGTGGCAGGTGGACTTGAACTGAGACCACTCTCCTAGCTGAAAGCGGCAGGTGACCACGGCAAATGTAGCCTTTTACCTGCACTCAGAAAGCGGCCCCCAACAGCAGGGGCAGACACCCAAGGGGACTAGGCAAGGAGAAGACCATAATTGGTTCTCTTGAGCCTCCTCCCCTGCCCAAGGGCTCCAAGTGAGGCTTTAGGTCTAGCCCTGCCTGAAAACAGTTGATTGCAGGGACGTGTCTTAAAAGTGACCCATGTCCTCTCCCAAACAAAACACCATCCTCTTTTGCCAACATTCTGATGTACAGAATTCTATCAGTAGGACATAAAACCTTTTAGTCTAAAATTTGAAATAAAAGACATATAAATGAAATTGCAGAACTCGACTTCACAACAAAGTCGTTTATGTGAAAGTAAAATCAGCATGCGAGAATACCAATGGACATGTATTTCCATAGGACAGTTGTTTAACCGGAGGGAACCAGGCACTATAAGTATGTGAGGAGGGGAAGGTGCGAGGGGGTGAGTTATGTCTGTATAAACTTTCTGTCTGCTCTTCAACTGGCCACGTCGTCGGTCACTGGAGCACGTGTGTGGTGGTGGACGCCTGCTCTCAAAACGCCTGCACACGTGCATTTCCCTTTGTTCCACTTTATTCTGTCTTCCACCCGTCATTTATACACCCTCAAACAAAGGTCCCTATTTTGCACACTCTGTTCAAGGAATGCTAATAAAATAGTATGGAAATATGGTTTTAAATAGGAGGGTACTTCAACAAGTTCATGGAAAGATTTGTATTATCTTTTATTCTATTTTTCCATGAACTTGTTGAAATACCCTCATATCCATATATGAACCAAACCCAATTATAGATCCTCTATTTAAAAAGGTAAAATTTTCATGGTAGACCAGTAGTATATCTGTGGTTTTTTTTTCTTTTTCTTGTTTTTTATTTATTTGTCCTTTATACTCTTACACATGGTATAGTCAATCAATAAATGTTTAAGGAATTAAACTGAATCTTGGTAATCTGAGCCCAAAATTAAAATGTGTATTTCTTATGAAATACACTTTTTGGATACCCATGAAGTTCCTCTCCTTATAACCAAAAGGAATTCTATATGAAATTGTGAACAACCAGAAATACTGAGTTTATTTTTCTATGATATTTTCTGTTATCTATCAAATATCTGTATACAGACATGAGTACTTTTTTTGAAATTTAGAAGATCACATTTGAGCAAGCATGATTTACTTTTTAATGAGACCAATCTGAAAAACAAAAGCGATCCAAAAAGCATGTGATTTGGTAAGAAAGATTTTTAAAAACCAAAAAAACCATACCTTCTTTTCACCCCAGATCTTATTAACTGTGTGTTTTCCTCTTCGAGAACTTGCATCATCAATAACGTCATCGTGAACCAGACTAGCAGTGTGGATCATTTCTGCAATTAAGGCTATGGAGCGCTGGTTGGCTTGCACATCTCTAATTAACAGAAAGCAATGCTTTTTAACAGAGACGCCGCCTAGAACCTTCTCAGCAATCACCTTGTGAAAACTGGACATCGGATCTAGGATAAAGAATTTTATTTCTCTAAGAGAAACTGTATAAAAACTTTGGCTTCCCTACAGAGCCATTTCTATCATTTAGAGAACATTTTAAAAATGCACAAGACCCTGCCAAGATTGTATTTTAAGGATTCCACATTAAGACACAGAATTTGTATAATAAGCAAAAAAAGGGTAAACATTTCAGAAGTCTGGCTATTGGGCAGCAGAATCATTGTTATGTCTTATAGTGGTGGTCTTTGTCAGTTGTTCAAGTTTATAATCAGGTTACAATTAAACTTCAGGTGTGGATAGGGAAGATAGGTGAGCAGCATTTTAAAGAGCATATTAAAGAACCAACTGTCACTCTGTTCAAAGTTTTTAATACTGTCTTAAATTAAATATTTAGTATGACAAAATCATAACCAGATAGAATGTTTGTAAAAACTTTCTTCCAATTCATATTTAACCTTTGCATTAGAAATCTTAACTAATTCCCAAGTTTAACAAACTACAGGATAAGCACTCTCAAGAAAATACACAGATGTTAATTTTACAGTTAAAAGGGAATGGCCCCAATTCCTTTTTAATAATCATCATTATCACCATCATCAACTGGAATTTTTAAAAACTAAATTTCAAGAAAATCAAATTGGGGAAATAACCAACTGAATTTTTGGAACCTAAAACATATGCCTGACTTAAACACACACTAACCAAGTGCTTCACGTATACCAGTAGCTTACTTTTCAAACATCATCGAGTTATATCTTCAGAGGGGAGAAAAAGGAGAGGTATATTAAAATATGACTTTTTCTTTAAAAATCTAATCTGCACACCTGCACAAAGTAGTCTCATTCTAATTCCTCAGACCCAGCAGAATGTAATGAAAATTGAAGTATAACCATGAAAGATGCCGAAATTTAAGTACAGACACTAAATCAGCATGAGAATATCTTCCCATGTTGCTTTAAATACCATTTTAAGATATGATGCCTTGCCGGCTCCTCCTACCTAACTAAATCTCAGAAACTTCCAACAGCTTTCAGCCCAGAAATCAATTGTAAAGTGCTGCTCATTATTATTAATATTTTACAATTATAACAGTTCTTGACTTCCAGATCACAGCAGATTCTTCCAAGGGGTAAGAAGTAAAGCAAAAGCAATAAAACCACTTCAATAAAGAAAAGAGAGCTTCAGATGGCTTTCAAGAACTTGCTCTGAATCCCTCAGTGAGACACTTGGACCTTATATTAGGAAGCTTAAATATTTTTCCAGGGAACTTTACTAGGCCCTGTCTTCTTTGAGTTGAATGCACAGGAAAAGATGTAGACTTTTACAGTTGGTTTTTTAATGTAAAGGCCATTTTAGAATATTTTCAACTGAATTTCAGTCTAATAAAATACACACTGTCAACTAGTTAGTAGCAGAACTTACCTTAAAACAACTGTTAAGGCCCCTAGCCTTTCACAAGCATTCAGAAGCTGGGCACCACATCCATTATCACAAATTATGTCAGCAGACAGGGGCTCCTGCTGGAGCTGCAGTAAAATGGCAGTGCTCACTGAGACACTAGAGTTTTTTTGTAATTTGAAGATATTAAAACAAAGATTCCTTCAAATATTTTGAAATTTCATAGACTACTACATAGGCATATAAAAATGTCATTTTGCATGGCTAAATTATTGACTGATGAAAATCAGTATTCTTACTAAGAATGTTATTTGGCATTGGGATATAGCCTCTACATAGAATAAACATCATAGTTTAAATACTTTATAATTTTACCTATGTATTTTTTTCCTACACATTTAGGCATTATGTGCATCATTCTATCTAGAAAATTCAGCCACTACTTCTCCATCACATAGCATAATGGTGGGAGAGATGACCAAAATTTACAGATGACAGAAAAATCCCACACTATTTTTAAGATAAAAATCTTCAAAGTGCCAAGCTGAGTCATGCTTTCAAAAAGCTGGGCACATTTCTACTTCCTACTGTGAAATAGCTGCGCACTACTTCTCCATCACATAGCATAATGGTGGGAGAGATGACCAAAATTTACAGATGACAGAAAAATACCACACTATTTTTAAGATAAAAATCTTCAAAGTGTCAAGCTGAGTCATGCTTTCAAAAAGCTGGGCACATTTCTACTTCCTACTGTGAAATAGCTGCCACACGTTCCCAGTTACTGGGAGAGGTGACAGGCAAGGTGGCACGAGAAAGAGAGGCCCTTAATCTTCAAAGGGGGCTAGGTCCTCTGAACTTCACATCTGCAAGAGTGTGCTGTTATTCAGCAAGCCCCTCAGGACATCCCTCCCCCTTATTAGATTAAAAAAATTTATGTTTTATAACGAAGAATTCTAAACATACATAAAATAGATGGAATAATATAATGACTCCCCCCACATACGCTTCACCTAGCTTATGTGATTTAAAAAAAATATTTTTTCTCCATTCATATTAATATGTAGTGTGAAGTCTTAAACAAATTACAAGTAAAACCCCAGTTTGGGAAGATGCTATCGGCATCAACATCAAAGGTTCCTCAATCTAAGGAGTAGCAGAGTGCAGGAGAGACCCCCGTGGGCTCAAACTTTCAGGCCATGATCCCTGGTCCCTGCCCACTCACCTTCATCAACCTAAACGAGCACCCCAGGCTCAGTGAAGTCTTTCTCTCTTTGGTGAGAATGGCATTTTCTTTTTTAAGCTTGATCATAACAGTCATAGATTCATTAGCAGTTTAATATCAAGAGAAAGGAACTGACATCCAAAAGCAGCAACTCCTGTATATTTTCAGATTTATCTCCAGATAAAAAGGATGCCTACAAACCTGCATCATAAATGACGCAGGGTTCACACTATTATTTATTTTCTTGCCACCAAAGAAGCACTACGGAAGCTTCTAAATCATGGGATATGTGGACAGTGAGCCCCCATGACATATCCTGGATCTGCGACTTATCCAGGGTGGCTCTGTGCAGGGCTTTCTCCATGGGATCCAGGTCATGGGTAATGAAAGCACAGTTACAGCATGCTTTCATTAGGGGCATGGGTTATGAAAGCACTGTTGATCCCTTCTCAAACAGAATCAGCCTCATCCTGGTGTTGTGGATGACGGAAGAACATGCCATGTTCACAGGCCCCCCAGCCCTCTGGCTCTCACTGAAGTTCTTAAGCTTGAACTTGAATTCACCAATGAAACAGCGGTAGTAGCTGGCTCAATGACTCGAACACCCAGAAGGCAGGAATGTCTCCAGAAACGCCAGCAGCCTGACTCTGGGAATCATTCAAGTGAGTGGGTGCTGTAATGACTGTTTTGTTACAGCCTTCCCAGAATAGGCTTTTGTAATCTCCTTTGTCTCCAGGAACACTAAAAGTCATCTCCTCTGAATATAAGATTTTTATCACACCTGGACCTATTAACTAATATGACAACTGTGTCTTCTGATCTGACCATCTATTCATCTAGTCCAGCTTTGAAAACCAGATGAGTGGGATTCAATGTCACTTGGCTATCTGCCCAATCAAGATCAATAGATCTGTGCACAACATCACTGGGGCAGTCCCATTATCCTGATGGGTGGCAATGACATTCACTTTCCGGTGCTGGAAGGGTTTCACACAGGAATGGATGGTGTCAAGATCAATGACAATAGGTCCCTTCAGTGAGGTTGCTGAGCAGGACAGGTGTGGCTTGTCTGAGAAAGATGTAGACACCATCGCTGTGCTATATTCACGAGGAGAGCAAATTTATAGAAATCTATTTATTTGAAAGCTCTTTTTTGATCTGGATTCTTTAATAAAATGAGTCCTAGTGTATAGTTAGTTTGGGCTTGGCTACACTGTTGCAAGTTAGGTTCTCCAGGAAGCAGACTCTGAGATACAGTTTAACATACAGGATGTTGACTCAGGAATGGCCTTGGGACCAAAACCTGAGACAGTGAGGAAGGGAGGGAGCAAACAGGACTCGGTACAGAAGCTGGTCTGCAACGCAGACCCATGGAAAGCCTCGGACACCCTCCAGGGTGCTCTGGATGTGGCTGGCTCGAGAAGGGGCACAGCCTAAGGTGACAGGATTCTTTGCAGTTGAGGCAATCCTTGAAGGGGCTGAGAACTGAAGGCCAACAGGTACCATCAATACCTGGTACCGCAGCCGGGGCAAAGTCCTTCATTGGAGGGGGATCTGGGGCCACCGGCACATCTCAGAACCTACCCCAACTCTGTTTTTTGGCCACTTCAAGTCTAAGTCATTTTGAGCAAGCATTCTTACCCTACTCACCCAGGGGCTGCGGCTATCAGGATACAGAGAGGAAGCATAAAGACTCGATCTCAAGCTTCTCAGGGCCATACTACCCTTTGAGAATATATTGTAAGCCCTTCCCCAGAAAAATGCAAATACACAAAAAATTTTACATATGGTTTCAAGAGGTTCACAGACTCCCACAACTCCCATGGACCTCAGGTTAAGAACTCCCAGTAAAGTAACTAGCAGGGACCATTTAATGAACACCTGAAAAGCTTGATAAGGGAAAAAAAGAAAAATCAACAAAAAGTAGTTTCTCCCTCCTCTACTTCTTAAGATATTTGTTCTATTCTGTTGTCTAAAATCCCCTTCAAGATAGCAATTAACCTATTTAACACGAAGCCCGGAAGCAAGATGATGATGTCTAATAAGCCCAAATCAGCCGTTCAGCTTTGATTATCAAATGATAAAGTGGCCTCTCTCAATTATGCTGTCACCGCCCAGCAACATGTCAAGTACAGGAACAGGTTCTGGTGCCACTGGGGCTGGAGGACACCTCTTGTTCAGCTTTGATTATCAAATGATAAAGTGGCCTCTCTCAATTATGCTGTCATCACCCAGCAACATGTCAAGTACAGGAACAGGTTCTGGTGCCACTGGGGCTGGAGGACACCTCTTGTGGCAATGGCTGAAAAGCAGGGGCTATGTGGTCCTGCTCCTGAACCCTTAGCTACCATTTTCCCAGATTGCTCTAAGCCTTTCTCAGCAAGCAAGATCACGAATGGCCCAGCTTGCCAGAAGCCTCCCACCCCTTCTTGCTCTAACAGCTGGATGTTTAGCCCATGTAGAGCCAGATCCAAAAGGGTCCTTAGGGGTCAGTTAGCTCAGTTGCTTAAAGCATGTTGTTGATAACACCAGCGTCAGGCCAGCTGCCAGCCACACACACACACACAAAAGGGGGTAAAAGACTTGCTTAGGAAGCAAGTCTTCTCAAGAAGCTGGGGATTGGAAGGTACTATTGTTGGGGTGCTGTACCACCCAAATGCACAACACAATCACAACTCATGTCCCCAGGGCAGACGCTGCCTCTGCGCTATGACTTTAATAAGCCCTACTGTGGTCACTTACGGGGAGATGAAGCCGCAGCTCCAGCATCCCCTGGAGGGGGCGGTATTTGACTTACAATTTAAACTAGCAATGCCTTTCTGTGTTATATTCTCCCATGTTTTCTGTAGCAAACAGTTTACACAGTTTCAATAAGGCAAATTAAAAAAACTTCGGGAATAATGGCTGAGAGGATTTAAAGCAGTGAAGAATATTTTCCTTCCCATGTTATCTCTGAGGGTAATAACCTGTATTATGTATTAATCTTAGAAATAAAGAATATAAACCCTCCCTCTCTAGACCAGTGGTTCTAAGCAGAGATGATTTTGTGCCCTAGGAGACATTTGGCAATGTCTGGGGACATTTTTGGTTGTTACCAACTGAGGACATCTAGTGGGTACAGGCGGGGGATGCTGCTAAATATCCTACAGTGCACAGGACAGCGCCCTCCTCGCCCCGCAACCAAGAATGATCTGGCCCCAAATGTCAGTAGTGCTGAGGCAGAGAAATTGCTCTAGACCACATGGGATGTACTTCAAGCCTGGTACAGAAGAAGGATTCCTGCTGCTCTGCCTTCCAGTAAAGTGAAAATCGTCTTGATGATGGTTAAAAAGCCACTGCCAGAGATTTTACCGCTTGCTCGAAATACACTGTGAGCTTTCAATACATTGAAAGCCCCAGGTTAAGTGAAAGGCAACCCTGAGCATGTTTAACATGCTGGACACGGAGGGGCACAGCAGGCTGCGGGTATCTTCTGAGAAGCAATATCTGACGCTTGTTTTTACAGCATCGTGCAATTCAGTGCTGACAAATGTTAGGCACTCCTTTAAGTAGTATCTACTGGGAAAAGGAAATACAAACATTCAACACTAGGGAAATGTATTAGTACGTTATAGTCTATTGGAATCCTCATCATGAGATTAGGTGATGTAATTAGGAAGATACTTCAGCAACCTGGTAAAGAGTTTACAATGGCAAGTAAACAAAGCAGAAGACGAAATTATATACACTGAACAACCGAGTCCCAGAATGGAGGGCAAGTGGGAATGAGGAAGATGGCGGCATGTGGTAATGGGGGAACTCTTCCTCCTTTTAAGATTTCTGTTAATAGTAAAATGCTGCAGTTGTTTTAATACTTCTAAATTTTAAATATATTCCAAACATACCAGTTGAGGACCAACAGTGACAATGTCTTGTGCACAATTCAGAAGGTCATGGGAAGGCAGGCGCGCCAGGGCGTGTGCGTGTGCTGCCCCGAAGGATGGAGCAGCTCACTGTTTTAGAACAACCAACCTTTGGACCAACCACCCCATATACATGATGACTAAATGTATTTACAAATCCTGGCACTCTTTACTTCCTAACAAGAAAACTAAATTGAGCTTTTAAAATTTTTCTAAAATGTTAATTTGCAACTGAAGTTGTTCTTTAATGGACATTAAAAAGTCTGGAAAAGGAAGATGCCAACCTAGATTCCACAGTGACTTTAGTGACTCAATGTCAGAATCTACACATCATAAAGTAAATTCTTAGATATATGCAACATCTGAAATGGGAAACAAAATGGGAACCCTGGGAAGAAAAATGTCCCAAATACAAAAACGACAGAGGAATGAAAGAAAGAACTCACCGGGAATTATTATGATGAATATTACATGCTCGGGCCATTAGTACCACAATAACTGGTCGAAAGGCTTTTCCTTTTCCATCAAAGTAGTACTCAGACATTTCCTTAAGTTCTGTTGTAGATATGAGCAGTTCCTGAAACAAAGTTTCTCTGTGTCAAAATGGCATCATCCCGTAAGTCAACAGGATTTCTTTTACAAAACTTTGGTTTGATTTCAGTGTATTCCTTTCAACTGAGAAATTCAACACTCAAGCCTCCAAACACTGCAGGGCTACAATGCTGGCTGCCCCACAGGCTGGAACACAAACAGTGCCCGACTTGACCCCCTTGAGTGGCCTAAGTGGTAGGGCAGGTACTACCACCTGCCCCACCCCCTGGCAGCATCAGATGGCAGATAGCTCCAAGAGATAGCAGGAGGGGAAGGACGCACTAGGTGTCCCTGTGCTAGTGACGGCTGGAGAGAGAAAGGAAGGGGCTGGTTACCAGCTTGGACAGTGGAGGGCAGAGGAGAAGGATGGGGAGTGTGGCCAAGCCAGTGGCTGTCCTGGGTAGGGAAGAAAGCTGCGTATTAGGGGCAGAAAGACAGACAAGATGGCAGCTGGTGAGAAGACGCAGGGGCCGGTAAGTCTGGTTTGGCCTTTATAGAGCAAAAGACACTGCAAAGGTTGACAGAGGAAGTGTAAGTCATGGCTGGCCTGACTGCAAGGAGCTTACAATCGAGCTGGGGAGGTGAACATTTTTAAAAAAGCGTGAAACAGCTGATGAATAATACACTGGTGGCCTGAACAATGATGTGTGTGAAATACATCGAAAGTTCAGAGGAGGAAGAGATCAGTGCAAGCTAGAAAAACTGACTATTTTGGGCCGGCCCCGTGGCTCACTCGGGAGAGTGCGGCGCTGGGAGCATAGTGGCGCTCCCGCCGCGGGTTCGGATCCTATATAGGGATCGCTGGTGCGCTCACTGGCTGAGCGTGGTGCGAACGACATCAAGCCAAGGGTTGTGATCCCCTTACCCGTCACACACAAAAAAAAGAAAAACTGACTATTTCGTGAAAGAAATGCTCTGTGCTGGGCTCAGAAGGATGACCAAGCCAAGGGTTGTGATCCTCTTACCCGTCACAAAAAAAAAAAAAAGAAAAACTGACTATTTCGTGAAAGAAATGCTCTGTGCTGGGCTCAGAAGGATGAGTAGGATTTTGATTCATGAAGAGGAGGGAGAGCCTTCCAGGTGATGGGTGTGTGTTTGTCCATGTGCACTTGGGGACGTGCTTGACCCAAGCCAAGCTTATCCCCTGGAAGGAGTAGGAGCCAGGAACGGACCCTCGGCTGGGCTCAAATGAACATGCACAGTGGACCGTCATTAATTCACTACCTTACTGAGTTGGTGCCAAGCACTGTAAGAAACACAGAGAACAACACAACCCCTTGCCTGCAAGGAGCGCAGGGGCTAGATGGGGAGAAGGAAAGCAAGAATTCCAGTTAACACAACAGAGTGTGATGGCTGCCGTCACCGAGGTGACCAGAGCGCCCTGGGAGCCCAAAGGGGGATGCTGTGGCTCAGGCTGAGATGGGTGGAGAAAAGCAAGAATGAAAGGACAAGGGACAGGGGAGTGGCCTAACTTAGGTCTGTGGGGACCGACTCGAAGAACACGGATGGTGAAGGAAAGAGGCAAGTCAAGGATCACTCCAGTTTCCTGAGTGGTACCTTTAAACAACAGGGAAAGCAGGCGCGAAAACAATTCATGGGGGAAAAGTAGAGTTTCAGATATGCTAGGTTTGAAATAGACGTGGACACTCCATGGAGTTGCTGGGGAAGCCGTTGCTAGATGGGCTTAGGAGAGACAACTCAATCTGGAGCAGAGATATTATTTGGAGTCTTTGGAACTCGGTGTAGAGAGGACACAGAGAGAGGGGGGATCAACAAAACTGCAGGGAGCAGCAAAACCAAAATTAAACGGGGTGGGATGGAGGTGATAAGCTGAACAGCCAAAGAAGTAGGAGGAGAAGGAAAAGTGTGGAAGCCACGGGAACTGAGTTTCAAGGAGGGGGAATGGCCAACAGTGTCCACTGTTCAGAAAGTCAAGGAAGATGAAGACCAGAGAGTGTCCACTGGGTTTAGTGAAAGGCAGCTACGGTGACCTGGGCAAAGGCAGTTTCAGAGGAGAGGCTGGAAAGGAAGCCACAGCGCACAGTGGAGTAAATGTGAGGGTCTAATGGGAGGGAGGAAGTGACACATGGGGCCGGGGAGGGGCCTTTCAAAACAGGAGATGAAGAGCTGGAGCCCTGGAATGGACACGAGGGATACAAGGACAGGGGAGGGCTTGCAGATAAGGGACAGGGAGTGGCCAACTGCTGACCAGTTCCTAAGGAACTGGGGAGGCGGCAAAGGGAAGGGGCTTAAACACAGGTAAAGGGGCTACCCCTAGAAAGGAGGGGACATTATGTCACTGAGGTGGGGGGAAAGAAGGCATGCACGGCAGAAGGTGCAGACAGGTGTGTCAACGGCAACAGCGCAGGAACCAAGTGACTTCTCCCTCCAAAGTCTCTACGGTGCCTATTACACAGGAGTGGTGTTGCATGAGGACATGAACCAGCGAAACTGATGGGGGAAGAGGCAGACCAGGGGCATGTGAACATTTCCGGGCAGCATTTCAGAATCCACGTGAGGCTGGGAGCCACTGCAAGTTTGGGGGAAAGAGTTAAATAAAGGAACCCACATTTGGGGCAGTGTGGCAATGCCATTCAGAATGAGATGGGATGGATATGAACAGGAAAGGCTAGATAACTCACTGGACAAACATATGTCTCCCGTTCCCAACTCTGCCATGACCTCCTTCTGGACAGTAACCTGCGTGGCGCTCTCCATTACTGCCCAGCACCAGGCTGGACGTGATTGTTGCTCGAGACACATTTGGAAATGGATCAACACAAGTCAAGTTTGCAATGGCATCGTACGTATCTGAAGACCTGCACAGTTTTTTCATAATTCTAACACTTTACTAGGTTTTAGTAAACTAAATCATTACTTCACAGCAGAATTAAAAAAACATACCTTTCTAATGTCCTCATACAGACCTTTCAAATCTCTCCTCCCAAGTTTGAAAGGATCGGTGTATTTCTCACCGCTCTGTGTTTTGCTACAACAGCACACTGCCGGTGTTGTGTGATAAAACCTGGGATAAGCAGAAATGTACATGACTTCATTTTTTTTTTTTTCCTTTTTGTCTTTTTTCGTGACCGGCAACGGATCACAACCCTCAGTGTCGCGCCCAGACCGGACCGGAACCGGCAATGGGATTGCAACCCTCGGTGTTGCGCCCACACCTCGCTCAGCCAGTGAGCGGGAACCGGTCTGTATGTGGGATCCGAACCCTCGGCGGGAGCGCCGCCGCGCTCCCAAGCGGCGCACTGTAGCAGTGCGCCACCAGGCCAGCCCATGACTTCATTTTTAAGTAAACATTATACACATATACATAAATATGTAGTAGAGTCAGATGATGGAAAATTAAGCCTAAATACTAGAAATTAAGCATGAATCCAAAAAGGTCATTATAATTTAGAAAGGCATACAGAATTTTGTTTTTGTGTAATGATACATTAACAGATCATTTTTATAAACAGGACCTGGAGAACTCACAAAATCAAAGAAAGACTAAACTATATTCATTGTGTTCTGTATTGAGTTCAAATTTTATTATATTCCTATTGTTTGAAAAGGCAGAGATCACATACAGCAAATACTGTGACAGTTAAACAACGTATTAAATTTGTTGGCCGAGTTCACCACAATTTAGAAGAAATTTACTGGCAATATGATTAATAATTTAGTAACTGAACTATGGATTATAAACTTACCGTGATATACTATATACATATGGAAAAGCGGATGTTAAACTCTTCACAAGATTAAAATATGGCATCTATAAAATAAAAACATCAAGAAACTTTAAGAATATTCCTTAAAGACTTATTCATAACATTGGATAATAAAAACTCACAGAATTCATAACAAATATAATCTTTATCTTTTAATCACCTATTTATAGGTAGATCACAAACTTTAGAAATAGGATAATTTAAAGCTTCCTTTCCTTATTACAAAAGCAATACTTGTCATTACAGAAAATATAAATATGAAAAAAGCAGAAAATAGAAAACATCTATAATCCATTCCTTCCCCCAAACAAAGCCAGTTTCCATATAGATATCTTTCCTTCCAGACCTGAGTAGTTTTAAAACAATTTATTTCCATTTAACTAAGATTGGCCAAAGAATAGTAAAGATTAGTATTATTTCCATGCTTTAAAATTCTTAAATCAGTATAAAACAAATAATCAAAATCCCAAAAGCACCCTACCAGATGGTGAAAAGAAAAAAAAAAATTCAATATTGGGGAAGGAATTTACATTTATACAAACATTGCCTATTTTAAGCCACTATTCCTAACATACTTTGGAAATGATATTTCTTAAAAAGTAGTATTAAAAAACAACCAACCTCAGCAGCATATTTTGATAATATTAACTTAATCAGAGGTCGAAGAACCACAATAGACCACTTCTACAAGATTCAGACATGGTAACAAATATAAATTCCAATAATTACTGAGCACTATTATGGGCCAAGAATTGTGACAGCACAGGGGACCCAAAGACACAGACTGCCAATCTTAAAGAATTCAGAGATACAAGCGTTTCAAAAGTTACTAATTTACCAATCTAACGTGATAAGCGTTTTTATATAGAACCCTTTCTTATTTGAAGAAAGGATTTTGACGAAAAGGGCAAATTTCACACAACAAAAATACAACTAATCAGCTCTATTAGTAATAAAGTCTTACAACCATTACATGTCTTTACACCATTATTTCATTTGATCCTCACAACTACTTGCTTTTATACAGTTGGGGAAATTGAGATCCAGAAAAGTTAAGTTTGAAAAACTGCTATGCAGATATATTTACAATGTATCAAAGAAAAAAAGCACCTACAGAACTGTGTGCATTATATGATTCTACTAAAAATTTAAATGAGGGTACTACAAAAAGTTCATAGAAAAATAGGACTGAAAGATAGTACTAATCTTTCCATGAACTCTTTGAAGTACCCTTGTATATACACACACAAAAATAAAACACACACACACAGACTAGGGTTTGGAAGCACATAAACCACGGTGTTAAAAGTAGTTATTCTGGAATAAATAGGATTGTGGAGTTTTTTTGTTTTATTTCTTTTGGGGGGTATATATTTTCTTATTTTTCTCTAATGAACACATATTACTTTAGATATATATAAATGACGATAAAAGTTGACTTTGCTAGGCAGTGGCCAAGGAAGTTGGTCAGAATTCCATTCTTTCTACCACAGCATCACATTAAACCAGCAAGAACATTTAGGACATCCCAGGCAATTACAATGTCCCAAGAAAACAAAGTGATGATCCTCCCTTTGATTTTACCATCATGACAACCCACTTCTTTCAGTCTTTGTGGATAATTAATCCATATGAATTGAGTATTTTATTATAATATTTATAAATTAGGACATCTTAGTGGAAGAGTAACAGTTATTCAGTTTGAGACCTACTGATAGTCCTCTAACCTGGAGTCAACAATTAAAGTTTAGTCATCTCTTGGTATCCGTGGGGGATTGGTACCAGGACCCCCGTGGATTTTGGTATATTCAAGTCCCTGATAAAAATTGGCATAGTATTTGCATATAACCTATGTACATCTTCCTATATACTTTAAATCATCTCTAGATAACTTCTAATACCTAATACAATGTAAATACTATGTAAATAGTTGTTACACTGTATTGTTTAGGGAATGACGACAAAAAAAAGTATGCACGTGTTCAGTACATGTACACCTTTACATATACCGTCTAAATTAATCTTTCTATGAATAGGAATCATCAGATAGATGTCCCAAGGTAACACAGCCAGATAATTTTATCTTTTGAATATTTTCAGTCTTCAGTTGGTTGAATCCACAGATGCAGAGCTAATTAATACAGGGTGCTCTTTACCACTAGGCAGCCTAACAGTTTTTAGTAGCATGGTCTTTAGAAGACCACGGTTCAAATCTCAACATTGTCTGGCTGTGTTACCTTGGGACATCTCTCTGATGATACCTACTCATAGAGAGATGCTGAGATTAACTTAGAGACTATACATAAAGCTCTTAGCTCAGAGCCTAGTAGATGGCATACATTTAATACAGTATAATATGAGATGCTAATACAATAATATAAGATGCCAATACAATTATAGTATTGGACTGTTGGGGACTTTAATATCCCACTGTCAGCACTGGACAGATGATTGAGACAGAGTCTCAACAAAGAAATACTGGATTTAGATGGCTCCATAGACAGACATTTACAGAACATTTCATCCAACAGCTGCAGAATAAACATTCTTCTCATCAGCACATGGAATATTCTCCAGGATTGACCATATTCTGGGCCACAAAACTAGTTTAAAAAACAAGTTTAAAAAAAAAATCGAAATCATATCAAGTATCTTTTGACCATAATGGATATTCTCCAGGATTGACCATATTCTGGGCCACAAAACTAATTTAAAAAACAAGTTTAAAAAAAAAATCGAAATCATATCAAGTATCTTTTGACCATAATGG